GTGATTTCTGACCTTGCCCACCCCAGACCAACATCGGCACCTCCACACCAGATTCTGACAACACAGAGCAAAGAATTGCAATCGCTCCTTTGGATCTTTCACCAAACAAACATTCTGAATCTATGCCCTCTGGTTACTAACTCATTCACCTGATAAGAGTAGATGAATAAAAATAATTCAACCAAAGCTTCACATCTTATAAACCCGTTTCGGCCCTCTCCACTCCAATGAAATCAGGCCACATCTGTATGGCACCAGCCATCTGAAACCCAAAGAACGTTGGCCAGAGCGAGCATTTTATTCGTTAGATAAGGGCTGTATTGATAAGACTTTATACTCATGAGGCAGGGAACCCTTTTAAAGCATGGAGGATCAATCCTTCTCCTGCTGGTGCCAGAGGGAAAGCTCAAAAAAGAACTTAACAAGAGCACCTATTTGGCCCCTCTCTTGGCCACTTCTGCATCAGATTATTGATCAAAATAGTCAGACCCAAATGATAAGGATCATAATCAGCTCGTGGTACACTGATGCACAGGGCTACATAATAACAAAGATTCAGTGAGCACAATGCAATGACTGAAATTCTCCAAAAAATATTCTGCAGTCAGCTACTGGGAACGTTCAACAAGGTAAAAAGAAAAGGAACTCGTTGAGAGATAAATGAGAGAGAAAACCGACGGACAAGACAATGGATTGCATAACAGTATTTCCAGGACAAACAGGTCACTCAATCCGACAGGTATATGCTAATGATTACACTCCATACAAGCCTCCTTCTTCCCTTAACCCCAATGTTTTCTTTCTTCCTTTCTCCATGTGCTTACTTAGTTTTTCTTCAAATGCATTCTTGTTGGTCACCTCAGCCAAGCCTCAATGTGGCATGTTCCATATTGTGCTCTGCCCATAAGTGAAAACCTCTACTCTGTACCTACTCTATCAAATTCTTTAATGACCTCAGAAAAGCTTCTCTATGCTTGATGCTCTTCATAGTCCTATTTAACTCTAGTACTAGTAATTTCTATTCCTCTATTCCTAGATCCCTCTTTTTCTAGGCCATTTAGACATTTTATTTTCCAAGGACCAGATGTCCTCCTATTTAAAGGACTACGACTTCCCACCTCTGGTGATCAAAAATGCCCTCAACCGCAGTTCTTGCATTTCCCACACTTCTGCCGTCAGATCACCCCTCTCCCCAACAAAAATAAAGACAGAATCCTCCTGGTCCTCTCTTACCACCCCACCAACCTCTGCATCCAGTATATCATTCTCCGCCATCTACAATCCAACCCCACGACCAAAGAGATATTTCCCTCCCCACCTTTATCTGCCTTTCGTAGGGACCCCTCACTCA